AAATAGAGACATTGTCCAGGCGGGCCTGATTTAATCACATGGGCCCTTAAAAGCAGAGAGCTTTCTCTGGCTGAAGAAGAGGGGGAAGCCAGAGAGATGTGAAGCATGAGCATGATTCCACATGTGGCTTCGTTCTGGAGATGAAGGGTATCATGGGAGAAGGGATATAGGCAACTTTAAGTGCAAACAGTGATCCCTGGTTGACAGCCAGCAAGGAAAAGGAGACCTCAGACCTAAAGCCACATGAGATTGGGTTCTGCCAACAATCTGAATGAGCTTGGAAGCAGATATTTCCCCAGAGCCTCGAGGGACGATCCCAGCCTGGCTGACACCTTGATTTTAGCCTTGTGAGACCTTTAGGCAGAGAATCCAGTGAAGCCTGCTAGCCTGCCTGGGTGGTTGTGAGCTACAGAAACTGTGAGATAGTAATAAATGGTTATTGTTTTAAGCCTCTAAGCTTGTGACAATTTGTTACACAGCAATAGACAACTACTATGGGAGGTTTATTTATTTTATGGAGGCAGGAACTGAGCCAGATGATCTCTTGGAACTATCTTGCAGCATTTATTTTATAATCAGAATACTTTGTCCCAATGGTAGGGCCCTTTGTGCAAAGTAGAAAAAGGATACAGCCCTGAAGATACACAGCTTGACAAGGACAGGGGGCCTTCCTCTGGCTTACATAGCACCTTGCCATGGGGCAGGGCTCTGCGTGGAGAACACTGGCTGGATTTTAGCCTCAACTTCAGGATCTTTATGTAGCACACAACCTGCACAACTGTATGCAGCAACCCTGATGGGCAGACTCTTGCCTGGTCTATGATTCTACATACATGCCTGAACCAACAGGCATATGGGACAGGCTGAGGCACAGAGATGGGTCTCACTGAAGAATATTCTGCAGTTTGGGGGGATGGTCAGGTAGGTGGGAAGATGACCAGAAAGGGAGGGACGAAGTGGGAGGGAAGGGTGTATGGGTGTGTGTGGAAAAATGAACACGGTCCCTTTTGTTTTGGTGTCTATTCTGGACTCTCCTGATGAGGCCTTTGTTACTTGCAGCTTTTCTGCTGCTCTGATCAGAGAAAACCCACCAGGGTGTGGCTCCCCCTAGGCAAAGTGCAGGAACACTTTGTCTCTAGTGACTATTAAGATCAGACTGCTGGGCATGAGTGCAGACCCGCACAGATGAGGACTTGATTCTCACTCTGTTCATTCTGAAAGGTCTGGGCACATAACCGGGCATCGCAGCCCGTGGTTGGCTCCTCTGTTCTAAATATCCACGTTTGCAGCTCCTGAAGAGCTTGTTACAGGTGGCTAGAGGGAAAAGGGCATCTGAGATAACTGTATGACCACGGACCTAGACTTCAGGATATGATCAGAGACAAGGTGGTGCCAAAAAGCCCCAGGGGCGGCTCGCTCTCTCCCAAAGGTCAGGGCAAAGTTTCTAATTTTTAGAAAAGCAGCCTTCTAAAGTAGGTGCCTTTCCTTTTGAAGGCTGTCATGCCTTGCAGGGCAGCTCTACAGGATAGAAAAGATTTTAGATCACAAATTTTTATCCTCTCCTTTCTTTCTTAGAGGAGAAAGATTTAATCCTTTATCTTAGGAGTCAGAAGCTCTTTTTAATGCTCATCCATCCACCCATCCACCCATCCATCTCTGCAATCTTATCTTTTCAAATTTGTCCATACAAACTCTGCACTTCAAGATTCCTCATTATGCCCAAAGCATGTCATCCCTCTGCTTACCCTGGAGATCCTTCCTTCTTTCCTTCCTTCCTTCCTTCCTCTACTCATCCACCTATCCATCTCTCTATCCATTCATCTCTCCCTCCATCCCTCCCTTTCATTCAATAAATATTTATTGAGCACCTAATACATGTCAGGCATGATGATTAAGCAGGAGAGACACAATTTCTGCCTTTAAAGAGTCTTATGTGTAGTGGGCAGGCAGATAATTAATCAAGTAATTAGAGTGAAGCGTGATAAGTGTGACAATACGGGAAGGGCAGGGCTGGGGACACATCTGCTCTAGAATAAGGATATCAGGGAGTCTTTGCAGAGGAAGGAGTATTTCAGCAGAGGCCTGAATGATGAGTCGAGTTGGTTTGGTTAAGAGGAACAGAGTCTTCCAGAGAGAGGGGATGGCATGTATGAGAAGCTTGCTGGTGAGAAAGTAAATGGTGGTTTCAAGGGCGACAAAATGACTTCAGTTTGTACTGAGGAGTTGGGGATAGCATACCCTCCCCTTTACCTTGCCAGGTCCCCCTTGCCCCACTAAAATAGAGTCCCCACTACAATAGAGTTGTAGGGACTGCCTGGGTCTGAGAGGATGTTCCTGCATGTCCAGCTCGTTTCCTACATTGTGACTGTCACACTAAATTAATCATGCCCTGCCTGAGGCATTTCCTAGTTGCTTCTTGGGTAATTATTTTGCCTCCTGGGCTAGGTTATATTTCAGGGGCTTGGAATAAGTCTCACCCCCAGCTCCTCTGCAGTGCTTAGCCTAGCTCTAGGTACAGAGCTCTGAAAAAAATGCTTATTGGATGCATGGTCCCTCATTCATCCACCCATCCACTAACCTATCCACTATTTATCAGAAGGATGTTCCTACTCTCATGGAACTTACAGTCTGGTGGTGTGTCCCTGTACAGAAAATAGCCCTTGGCCTTTTCCCTTTGTTTGCTCGAGTGGAATTTCCATGGGGCAGGAGAAAATATTAAGCCCTAGATAATTTCATGTTTCTGTGGACGGAACCAACTTACTCACATTCCTTGGGCAGCTCAAATAAGTCTTAGCTTGAGTATAGTAGCAACAAACTTCCGAAAGGCTCCTGAGCTTGACTATTTCTTGTGGCTACCAAGCAAAGATAAAAGTATGTGTACGTGTGGGTGTACTCACACCTGTGGGAAAAGGAATGGGCTTAACCATTGTCTCATTATACTCCCTCTGCCATGACAGCAGCTCTCAACTCTTGAAGCTCTGACAAAGATTCCTCTTCCTTTTTGCTGTCCTGTGGTGGGGAGTGTGTCTTATTCCTGATTGTGTGTGTGTGTGCATGTGAGTGGGGGTGTGATGGGGTGGGGTGAAGGTTGAGAACATTCCACTAGACATTGGAGTGAGAATCTGGCCTTCTTAAAAGCAGTCTCTGTAGGGGCATTGCCTAGTTGTTCTCAAAGGGAAATTACATTTCCATTCTCCATAGCAGGAGTCTGTGCAGGCTTCAGCTCTGCATGTGACTCAGTTATTCAGGGCCCCATTTGGGCCCCAGCTTTGCCCTGACTCACCCCCAATGGAGTGGGGTCAGGGAAGAGAGGAATATTTGCCACCCAATTCTCTCCATCTTCTGAGTCAAGAGGGGAAGTAAGAAAACACCAGTGGTCTGGGAATAAATGGATGCTCTGCCGTGAAGTTGATAAATCTCCTTCTTGGAAAGGCACTAAGAATAATCTATAAAATCATTTTATTTAACAGTGTGTCTGCTCCCTGCACTGAAGAGAACAAGTGGCTGGCTATCTGATTCATGGCTTTAGAGATGTTGGGTCTCTCTGTCTTGCTTTCTCTCTCTGTTGGGGATCTCATTTTAAAAGAATGATTTTGACCCAAGCAGAAAGGAGGGGAGTTTGTATTGTATAAACATGAAATGCTGAGTCCAAGAAAAACCTTATAATAATTAGGAAGTGAGAGGCAGTGGTTTTTCAGGACCCGAGTCAAATACAGTCAAAGCTCCTTGTCTTCCATCTTAAACCCCTGTCCACTAGAGCACTTACAAAGCCCACATTTCTGGTGGGTAATTTCTAGAGATCCCATAAATAGCAAATCCAGGAAAGATGGCTGTCCCTGGGCTGGGCAGAAAACAATACTTCAATTAGAGACTTAACGACATGGAAGATTAGCTGATTTTATAGACATTTTCTTGGCTGAACCAATCAGGGACTAAACTAAGGCAGAGCTACGGCGCTGCACATCTGCGCTGAGCTTCAGGCACCCGAAAGTCCGTGAGAATGCCGCTCCCCGGCCCTGTGCAGTGCAGTGGCCCTGGAGGACAGAGCAGCACTCAGGTTGCATGTCAGCCTCTGTTATCATTTTGGATGTATCGAACTGTAGGTCCCAAAGGGGTAGTCAGAAATTTCTACCTTCTAGATGACCTGTTTTCCAGTTCAGGGTTCTTCCCTTCTTCTCCTAGTCAAATGGCAAATTCTTATTTTGCACCATCTAGAGACAAAACGGGACCCAGGCTATCAAAGGGTAGGAGCCAGAGGGCCTGAGTCCTAGTCCCAGCTCAGTTGTAGGAGTGGCATATCTTTTGCTATCATGTGAGAATTCAGCCTTCTGCTAGTTTCACACAACCTGGTGATCTTAAGAGGAACATAGTAGGCCAATATCTTGGGGAATAAAGTCTAAAAGCAGAAGCTGAGATTTTCACAAAGGGAGGAGGTGCAGAAATCCTATTTCCTTCACATTTAAAAGTCTGAAGTTCTCTGGCAGTCAATGCAAAAGGCTGATATAGATAAATAATATTTTAATGCAATGATTTTTTTTTCTTTGAGACAGAGTCTTGCTCTGTTGCCCAGGTTACAGTGCAGTGGTGTGATCATAGCTTCCTGTAACCTTGAACTCCAAGGCTCAAGTAATCCTCCAGGCTCAGCCTCCTGAGTAGCTGGGGCTACAGGCATGTGCTACCACTCCCAGCTAATATTTTTTTAATTTTTTTTTTTTTTTTTTGTAGAGACTGTGTCTTACCATGTTGCCCAGGCTGATCTTGAACTCCTGGCCTCAATGATCCTCCCACCTCAGCCTCCCAAAGCTCTGGCATTATAGGGCTGAGAGCCACAGTGTCCAGCCAGTGATTTTTAAAAGCCAGAATTAATGCAAAAAAAACAAAATCTATGATGAACAAACTATCAAAATTGTAAATAAAGCCATGTTCCTATCCTGCACTTGCACGACTCACCTCACTCACCTCACCCTATTCCTAACCCTAGTTAGATCTCTCTAGTGTCATTTTTTTTTTTGAAAAGTTAAAAATTCCTTAATTTTTTATTCCTGGTACCACTACCACAATTTACAGGGCAATATACCTGATGTAATGAAAAGAAAAAGAAAAAGACAAAGCTACAGCAGATAAAAGACCTCAGGAATGTACATCTAATTGACACTACATTGCATTAATCAATAGCTGCACTTTTTGCAAACTGTGGCTATGACAATCCTGAACAAGAAGGGTTTCCTGTTTAAGCTGCAGTAACTTTTCTGACTATGGATCATCGTTCCTTCTGTGGCAGATTTTTACAGTTCCTCTAATGCATTTGGGACGACTGTCTCAAAGTAACCTGCAGCTTTCCTGACAACTCCTCACTCTCTCTCCTGCTAAGAAATGTAGCCCTTTTCTGCTGTTTTTAGAACCTTCTGCTACCATATCCACCACTTCCACCACCAGATCCATAACCACCACCATAGGGACTGCCCGAGCTTCTTCCACCAAAACTGCCCCCTTTCATGGGTCCATAATTTGATGGCTGTTGTCCACTATAATTTCCAAAATCATTATAGTTCCCACCACCACCATAGTTACCACCTCCAAAATTTCCTCCTTCATTGTAACCATCATATCCTCCTCCACCACCGCCATATCCACCACCTTGGTTTCCATATCCTGGTCCACCACCATAGCCCCCTCTACTACCATAACCAGGACCACCGCCATAGTTGCCACCATCACCTCCAAATCCATTGTATCCACCGTCACCTCCTCCATAACTACCTCTGCTGCCACCACCTCCACCACCACAGCCTCCTCTTCCACCAAAGTTTCCACCACGGCCAAAATTACCTCCACCATGGCCAAAATTACCTCCACCACCTCCAAAGTTTCCTCCACGACCCATAAAGTTGCCAGATCCACCTCCCCGACCTCTTTGTGATCCAGCAGACTGCATCTCTTGTTTAGAAAGGGCCTTTTTCACTTCACAATTATGCCCATCAATAGTGTGGTATTTCTGAACAACAATTTTATCAACAGTATCATGATCATGGAAAGTCACAAAAGCAAATCCTCTCTTTTTTCCACTCTGCCTGTCTTCCATAACTTCTATGGTTTCAATCTTTCCATACTTTTCAAAGTAGTCTCTCAAATTATATTCTTCTTTAATACCAACAACAAAAATTTTCTTCCCTGTTAGATGGGCTCCAGGCTTTACAGAATCCTCTCTAGAAACAGCTCTCTTTGGTTACACAACACGCCCATCAACCTTGTGTGGTCGAGCACACATTGCTGCACCCACTTCTTCAACACAAGCGTAAGTCACAAAACCAAAGCCCCCAGAACATTTTGTTTGGGGGTCTCTCATTACCACACAATCTGTGAGTGTGCCCCATTTCTCAAAATGTTCTCTTAAGCTATCATCTGTAGTTTCAAAGCTCAGACCACCAATCAACAGTTTTCTCAACTGCTCTGGTTCCTTTGGATCATGGCCCTCCTCCCCCCGGCGGCGGCGGCGGCGGCGACGGCCGGAGTCGGGCTGGGGGCGACTGGACGGCGGTTTTACCTCCATTTTGAGACTGGACTCGCCTCTTCCAACTCAAGTTCAATATCTCTAGTGTCATTTGATGTCTTGTGGTATCATAGAAAGAATGTTACACTGTGGAAAGGCCTGAGTGTGAGTTCTGCTGCTGTTACTTTCTTGCTGCAGCCCCCTCTAAGCCCTTTGTCCTCCCTGAACCTATATAAGGAAGACCAGAGGTTCTATTTCTCTTTAGGGATTTTCATGGGTAATGATATGAGCAAAAATCCACAACTCTTGTTTTTAGGAACTACAGGTCTCATTCAACTCTGTGTGTGTGTGTTTATTTAATGTAACTAGGGCTCCTAGTTCACCCTGCAGAGCTAATCCCTAAGCCTTTCAGGAAGCCAGAAAACATTCTCAACCTTTCAGTCTTACCTGTTTTTCACTGTGCCACTCCTCATTTGTCCCTCCTCTTCCTCTTCCTCCCCAGAGGAAGTATCCGCCCTCCATAAAAGCGTAGTTGCCCTGAGCCCGCCCAAGTTTGCCATAGGCAAGATCTCCACACAAAGCTCTCTAATTTTAGACAACAGGGAGGGTGTGGGAGGGGGGTGGAGCATCTTTGTTGAGAATATGGTCTTTGAACTGCACTCCGGAGAGATGGTGGCCCAGCTCTGCCTCCCTGCCCTAGCCAGGCTTGTGTGAGCCGCACACTCTCCATTTGTCAGCCTCGTCCCATCAACTGGGAGGACCCTGTTCTTGCTGCCACGTTGCTCTATTCAAATCACTGTCACCACTGTCACTGCTCACCAGCACTCCTGCAATAGCCGCCTAGCTTGTCGCCCTGCCTCCATTTCTCTCATCCTGTTACAGTCCTTTCTCCTCTCAGCAGCCACAGTACTTAAAAAAAAATTCTTTTTGAAGAAAATCATAACATGCTGCTTCTCTACTTAATCCTTCCATAGGTCCCCATTGCACCTCAAATAAAATTGAAACTGCATAATCTAACTGAAGAATTCTGAAACTTTAGCATGCTCAGAAACATCTGGAAGGCTTGATAAAACACAGAGTGCTGATTCAGCAGATCTAGGTGGGGCCTGAGAATTTGCATTCCTCACAAGTTCCCAGGTGCTGCTGCTGCTGGCTCCAGAATCACCCTGAGAAATGTGAATCAAGCCTGCAAAGCTCCACCTTGCTGCCCCTCAACTCACCCTCCACCACTTTTCTTCCACCCATCCCGCCCTAGCCATACTTGCCTTCTTTCTGCTTTCTCAAATGTATCCACCTCATTCCTGCCTCAGGGCCTTTGCACTACCTGTTTTCTCTGCCTGGAACTTTCATTCTCCAGATATCCTCATGACCAGGTTCTTTTTAAATATCTCAACTTACATGCCACTGCCCTGTCTACCTGATCTGATCAGCCCTCCAGCTCCTCTCCATTAAAACATCTTGTTTCATCTTTATCTTGTTTATATGTATGTTCTGTTTCCTCCACCGGAAGAAAAGCTCTATGAGAGCAGGAACCTTATCTGTCTGATCTGTCTTTTATCTGGCACATAGACATGTTTGTCAAATGATTGAATGATTCATGGATACCAGTGGGTGGTGGAGCCAGAATTTGCACCTAGGCCTGTCTGAATGCAGAGCCCACTGACACTCAGCATGTGATTATTATTATTATTATTATTTTGAGACAGAGTCTCGCTTTGTTGCCTGAGCTAGGGTGAGTGCTGTGGCGTCAGCCTAGCTCACAGCAACCTCAAACTCCTGGGCTCAAGCAATCCTGCTGCTTCAGCCTCCCAAGTAGCTGGGACTACAGGCATGTGCCACCATGCCCTGCTAAGTTTTTCTATATATATAGAAAATATATATAGTTGGCCAATTAATTTCTTTCTATTTATAGTAGAGACAGGGTCTCCCTCTTGCTCAGGCTGGTTTCAAACTCCTGACCTCGAGCGATCTGCCCGCCTCAGCCTCCCAGAGTGCTAGGATTATAGGCGTGAGCCACAGTGCCCAGCCAACATATGATTATTGAATGGGATACTGAGGCATACTCTTGGCTGGTCTCCCTGACTCCATTCTTGCACATACTACTCCCTTCAGAGAACTATTATTATATTAGGCTACTCTTATGTAAAGATCACTTTAATAACTCTCTTTTCCCTTCCCAAACAAGTCTAAACTCCTTTTCCTGGCCTTAAAAACGTGCACGAGAAGAGTCACCTTGGCACTGCTGTCACTTCAATTATTCGGTGATGACTTTAGTTAAGCACATTCTCTGTTGTTCCTTCCTGTGACTGATGCCATGAAAATAATTATCCATTTGATCAATTGTGGTTAAGAACATTGGCCTTAGAATCAGAGATACCTGGATGCAATACTTATATGTTTTAGGGCTTATGACAAAATACTTAATTTCTGTGAGCCTCAGTTTCCTTAACTGAAGCTGGGTGCAGTAATAAAACCTACCTCATAGGGTTCTTAAGAAGATGAAATGAAATAATGCAAGTAAAACCCATAGTATACTAACTGGCATAGAATAAACAGTCATAAATATTTAATTTGATGACTGGCTGGAGCAACCAATAAAACGATTTTCCCCCTAATTTCCTGGATAGGGTCAGAAGAGGGTGAAATAATTAGAAGTTTGATAAGTGCTGGTTTGGGATCAGGCAGGGTATTTTTGGAGCTCTATGGTCTGGTCTGAGGAAGAATGACAGAGAAAATGGTATGCCTTGAGAGGGGCTGAGTTTCTTCAACACCTTTCCTCGTTTTCATAGTGGAAATAGGGGTCATCGTTCCCCTGTACCTGCTGCTGCCCAGTGGTAGCTGGATGCTTTTCCGGGGTAACCTTCCCCCACGTCCCACACTCTCTGCTCCCTCCTAGACGGGAGCCCTGGCTCCATTACAGGGCGGTTCGTTTGCTTACTGTAATCCCATTGGTCAGAGACAGATGGGCCTTCAAGGGTCCTGTTTTAGGGGAATGTGTGGAAGAATCAATGGTATCACCTTCTACTATTGAGGGCGTCTCAGAGTTGGGGAAAGAGAAGCTCTCCATGGATGGTGCAGCGCATAGAGACAGCAACTGAATTTCTTCCCTCTAGCCAGATCCTGGCTGCTCTTGTTGACCGATAAGCCCCTCACTCACACTCTTTTCTTTTCCCAGAGATGCCAGAATCTGATTTTTGTGGTGCCAGCGCCGATTTCTCAAGTCGCCTTTCCACCCTGCCCCGGTTGCAGTGACTTCTCCTGGGCTCTCCTCCCTTACACTTCCGCTTCCGGCAGGGGGTGGGGGTGGGGAGCAGTGGTGGAGGAGAGTCTGCTTCCCTCTCCTAACACACGTCTGCCCTTCCTCCCGCTCCACCTCTCAACTCTGCCCAGGGGCATAAGGAAGCCTTGCAGTCCATACACATTTCAAGCAGGACATTTACATACTCCTGTTGAAGGGGAAAAAATGAGCTTGGGAAGCCAGGTTTATAGAGAGGTGAGGACCAGCTGACAGGAGCCAGCCCAGAAAGGCTCTGGATCCCGCAGTTCAAAACACGTTTGTTTATACTACACATCTGGGGGCCACTGCCTTTCTGATGACATTTGGGACATGAAACAGCCAGGCAGAGCCCGTTCACCTGAAACAAAGGCGGTGACACTCCAGGGTGATAAGAGAAAACACAGGGACCGTGACAGTAATATAATACATTTAAAATTCTACATCTGCCTGGAGGGCCTTTAATCAAGGATTTTAAAGCGCTTTCTCCAGATCTTGCCCATTCATCTTTACCACATCCCTGGGAAATAGCTGGCAGGTAGGTAGCAGAGCACTAAAAATAGGGTAATGTATCATTATCTTTGATGCGAGCACGATGTATTTAGACAGCATTTTCTCTGAAGAACTAAAGGGCTCCACACACATTATATTATCTAATTCTAACTTATTCATACAACACCCCCCATATTTGCTGCCTTGCAGGTAGTTTGGAAAGCTTTGGATCCGCAGAAATTCACAACTTTAAAGCCTACTCCTTCCCCGCCCGCAGCTGCATAATTCATAGGCACGTAAGTAGCCGATACCGTAGCTTGATCACCTACCTTGTCTAAATACCACTGTGACACGGGCACCCTCAGCACACACATTCAGTTTTATGTCAGTGATACCAAGAGCTGTAGGAAGAAGATGTCATAAATTGCCTTACTGTCAGATTGCATTTGGGTCTAGTTTGCTGGGTTTTTGAAGCCTCAGTTGTACGCCTATCAGAGGGACTTCATGTTTCTTACGAAGACACAGGGTCGGGAGTGGATCTGCAGGGCGTGCTGATCATACAAGCCCATGGCTGAGGCTAGTTCAGTCTCTCTCTTCACCTCTCCACAACGCACATCACCTTTAACATCGCCCGGTGGATTTCTTTTATTTGTAAGAGCTTCTGTGTTTCTCTTCCACTGGAATCATCACTGTTATGTACTCAGAGTGCATGTTACAGTGTAAAGAATCTGCCAATTGTGTAATTGTCTTCTCATCTGTCCTCACCACTAGCCTGAGCTTTACAGGGTCAGGGGCTGTTTTCATCTCCATTGTCACCATATCTCAAGAGTTGAGCATGTGTCAGGTGCTTAATAAATATGTTGTTGAACAAGTGAGGGAACAAGTGATGGTATGAATCACAGTGAGTATTCTCTGATTTAGGGCTTCTGATCATGCCCTTTTCCCACTGGTGTAAGTTCCATTTCAGGACATCATAATGGCCTCCACCCGGACACCATCTCTTCCTGCCTCTGGGAAATGCAGCCTCACCAACCCTCCCCCTCATTTTCCCCAGCTCTCCAGGGGCTGCTTGGCTAGAATCCATGTATTTGGCCTAAGTCATCCAATAACTTAGTTGAGCTCTGGACTCAGATTGTTTATATGACCTGCTCAAAGAGGCCAGTGCTTCCAGCAAAATCTTTCACCTGCACTTGTCCATGAAGTATGGAGGAAAAACACATCAACTCTGAGATCACAGAAACTTGAGTTGACATCTTAGTTCTATTGCTTGTAGCTTTGCATCCTTGGCCAAATTCCTAACCTTTTTGAGCTTCTGTTTCTTCCACGGTAACACAGGGATGGTAACACATCCACCTCAGGTGGTGGTGCGGGTTACATGAGAAAGCACAGGCGGCAGTTGCAGTAGACAACTGTTTCCTTCCCTTCCCTTCTATCCTTGACCCCTTCCTCAGACCCCTCCTCCCTCCCGGCTGCCAGTTATCTTTTGGATGCTTCTAGCTGTCACGCCCTCGGTTTTAGGCTCCATGCTGGAAGTGTTGAGACTCAGACTATATTTAGATGCCTCAACTCTTTTATTTTTTTACACCACTGTGTTGCTATGGCAATGGTGGAGAGGGGAGAGGGAGGACAGCTTGAAAGGAAGGATAGAGCTCAGCCATGAAGACCAGTGGCTCTGACCGTGGACTGTTCCCAGTAAGCTGCTGGTCTCCAAGGAAACTCACCTGTGAGTTCCATCAGGAGATGCTGCAAGGAGATAGGAGGAGGTGCTGCCTAGGAAAGGCTCTCAAGAAAAGGGGCAACAAAGAGGACTGATTGCTGAAAACTGCTCACTCCACTGGCCCAGACACAGCCCTAACTCCTGGACCCTTCCTCGAGTGGCTTCTCTGGCAATTGGGTCAGGAGACAGCAGCCAGCGGGGCAGGGTGGAGGAATGACATCAGTTATGTTGGAGTTCAGAAGATGTTCAGACCAGACTCCTTCCCGGAAGCAAGTCCTATCTCCATGCCATGGCCCAGGCTTGTCATGGATTCAGTCCACAGGGCAACCAAAGTCATACAAAGGCAAAAAAGGGGGAGAAGGTGCCTTTATTTGTGTGCAAAACTCCATATCCTTGCTAGACTAGAATGTGGGCATAGCAGGCTCCAAGCTGAGGATAAAAACTTGCATTGGAGAATGATCTAGTGTTCCTAAAACTGTTACTCACACATCATTTCATTGGGTCTTCAAAATGGCCTGATGAAGTAGGATTATCTTGACATGAGGAGGCGACACAGATAGGTTGGAAACTTGCCCAATGTCACACAGCTGATAAATAGCAGGGCAGGGAATTGAACTCAGGCCACCTGGACTCCAAATCTAATGTTCTTTCCAATATTCCAAAGACTACCAAAAACAATTTTTTAAACTTGAAGAAAATTTATGAGAAGAAGAAAGTCTACAGTGAAATGCAACCAAACAAGGCAGATAGAAGCAGAGCTGCTGGAATTGAAGTGATAGGTCTTTCTTGGACGACCCTCCTCCCACTTCACCTGCAGGAAGGGAGAGTTCTAGACAGCTATTCTCCACGTGTGGTCGTCCAAGCTCACATATTACAAACACCTGGGGTAACCATAAACATGCCAATTCCTGGTCCTGGTCCCAGATTCTGATGCAGTAGATATGGGGTTGTTTGCATTTGAACAAGCACCCAGGAGGCTCTGATCAATACTGATCTAACTGGAACTAGCAACTCTTGGCTCAGAAAATTGGGAGATGGAACATAATTGTATGGCCTGTCTCTCTTTTCCTATCTAATTCCTCAAGCTCATTTTTAGCAGTCAGAGGTCCGACATCCCCAAATAGTCAGGCGGGATTGTTTTGTGAGGTTTTCCAACTGCCCTCTGGGACTCCATCAGTGGCTGAGCCCTGGGCTCTAGTCTACGAGGGG